AGGTCTCCTGAGGGTTAGCCCTGCGCATCGCAGAGCTAGCAACCAGGTTGGGGAAACTCTGCTCTTCCTTCTGGGTTCACGTGGGTTGTGCTTGGTTTACTTTGGGAGTGTGAAATGAGTCGCCCTCACACAAAGTCCCTTCCTTCCTTTGCATTATTTTCTTTTTCCATCTGGCAGCGTGTGCCAGCTTCGGGTCGTGACAAATGTGTGCTCTTTGACAAAACGTGTGCCGAGGACACAGTGCGTGAAATGATCTCTCTTTATTTTAAACGTGCTTGAAAAAGCGTGTTTCCCAGTCCCAGCAGAGTCACTCCACAAAGCACCCCCTGCACTGTTGTCTCTGCAGGGAGGGGACAGGCTACAGGGATGCTACGGAGAGCTCTCTGTTTTTAGGGTTCAGCTTGAATTAGCTTATTTTTCTGTTTAAAATAAATTTTATAGTACAGAAAAGTATGATTTATTGGAGTATGACTGTTAAACTTTCAGAGGAAACAATTATTGAACTTTTTGTTTTAAAATGTCCCATTGGAGATATTTTTGATAAATTTGCTGGAGAGTGCCCACTGAAAGATTTTTTTTTTTAAATGTGAGCGTATGTATCTATGTGTATGTATTTATATCCACACGTATAAGGTGTATAAAATGTACATACTTTGTCTATATTTTAAGTATATAAATTCTGTAATACACTGTTAAGAAGATCAGCCACACTCCCTAGACTCCAGGTGGTTTTGAAACGGTGCAGCAAAGTCCTGTGAGCAAAAATGGCTTGTCAAAGGGCCTGACAATGGATTTCCTGGGCAGTAGCATATGGAAGTGCTAATATCTGGTACTTGTATTTGGTGTCGTTCTACTACTAGTATGTACTTAACCTCCTTATTTGTACTTACATAAAAATGTAGTTTTACATTTATTTCTCCTTTGGTCAATGCTTGTCAAAAGAGTATGTGTTAAAAACTTCACTTGGGAATGTCACCTTTCTTTCCAACTGTCTCAATAGTAATGCTAGCATGAAAAAAAAAAGGGCAAAACCACTATGGAAACATTTTACACTAGTTTATTTTTTTGGGGAGCAGGTACTTATTTTAAGTGAAGGAATGACAAAATAACTGTGTGAAAAGACAACTGTCATTTGCAGATGTTATATTAAAACCAAATTTCTTCTGTAATTCATTGCCACTTCTAATTAGAGGAATTCCCTAGATGCAGGGGATTTATATTATTCCCTTTGTCCATTTATTGAATGACTGTCACAGTCACCCACAAGCAGTTGCAGAAGAATAATAGAGGGTATTTATTTATGTGATAAGCCTCTGTACAGATGGAAAAAATCCATAGCTTAAATATTGATAATTGCTGCTAGCTTCTGCTGAGGGTTTTGGTTGGCTAGTAGTTTTTTTTTTTTGTTTGTTTTTTTTTTTCATTTTGAGCTTGTGAGAAGGAAATTAGTTTGACTAGTTGTAAATACTAAAATGTATTAAATATTTACATATTAGAATTTTCTGGGTTTGACGTGGCAATTCTGTGATGTGTATGCAATTCCAGATATTTTTCACTTGTATAAAGTGTCTCTTTTACATGGTGTGGCCTTTGTCTGAGGAGCCATATGTCACCAAGTGACCCTATGTGGTGGCTTCCTCTGGAGGTGCCCCTGAAGGAACAGCGGTTTAACACCTTGACGTGCTGTGCTGGGGTAGACCTGTTTGTGCCTGTCCCAGCCGTGGTGACGGGGGACTGCCTCTGAGCAGTGGTAGTTCTTTGCCATCTCCTCTGCTTCCTACAGACCTCGTTATCTTGGATCAGTTCAATTTTTTTTTCCTTGAGTGAAGTCCATGGTGGCATGGAAGGAGTTGACAGAGAATTACTGAAACAAATACTTCTTTGCAAAAACTCCTGCCAATGTGGGATTCAGCCAGTGAATTAGGGTGTCCTGTTGAGTTGCAACACTGAAAACATCTCTTAATATCTACTCAAAATGAAATGTAGTCAAATTTTGTTCATATGCATAACAGCTCATGTTGACCCAGTTGAATATTCTGTGAATCGTGCATATACATGTAAAGTATACTGAACTGATGGTCATTATGGAAGTTTTTTAACCTTTAAATAAGCTCCCATGCTCTACACTAACCTTTTGGCTTCCATTGGCTTGGCTTTACATGCATTGTTTTTATTTTGGGGTCCACAGGTGCCATTTTTCGGTCCTCTCTTCGATGGAGCAATCGTGACTGCAAAGCTGCTGCCAAGCCTCATATGTGCCACGTGCATCAATGCCAGCAGAGCCGTCAAGTCGCTCATCCCGCTCTACCAGAACTTGTATCCTTTCCTCCCACTGGGGCAAGGCTCCCTTGTAGGGTTCTTACTTTGAATGTTCTTCGGCAAGGAGGTAAGCTTTAATGAAAATCCTTCCCATTTGATTTTATTGGAAAAGGTCAAAGCTTTCCTCACGTTGTGCAAAGTGTTTTCAGTCGTTCATGCCCAGTTGCCATCCAGTGTTTTAAAAATTAGATCATAGCATCCCGAGAGTGTTCTCACCAGCAGCTTCAGACAGCCTCCCTGGTGATGCACTTGGATGTAACACTGATTCTTTGAACTGTAAGTAATGATAATACTCACATTTTCTTTCATGCTGGTAGAAGTTATCTGCAGTGTATATTACACTGATATACAGAGCTCAGTTGTATTTGTGTCTTATTCAAAAAAGTAGTCTGATTGATTTTACTTGGACTCATTAGATTAATGAGACAGATGGGATTTGGCCTCAGATACGGATGTTTCAGTTCCCGAATTGCAGTTTTGTTCCAGCCACGTCCGTATCTGGGCATTTTCAGAACATATTTTCTAACAGTTGCTGGAAGATCACTAGATGGTATGCTTCTCTGTTACGGAAATTGTAGCATAGGCTTTTATTCTTGTGTGATACGCAGGCTAACATCATTCTTACTGGTTTTCACCTATTGTAGGATTTTCTCGTAGTGCCATAGTTATGCTAGAAATGCTTGTTTTGTTAATCGTATCACTTATCTTAGGGCCAAAACTCACTGCACTTCATTTTCTTTGGGAAGCTTTTGATTTGATTATTTTTCTAACCATATGACTTTGAGAGAGTTTGGAAATTAGATGTTTTGATCTTTAAAAGAACATTGATTAGTTTGAGACACACATTTTTAAAACACAAAATATCCTCAAAATACTGTTTTTTTTCCGAAAGGCTAAATTTTACCCAGTGTACTTTGCAAAAGTCATCAGAAATTAAAAGTAGCGTTGTGGTTAAACAAATTTGTACTTTACCTTCATTGTGTACTCGTTTGAAAACAGAGACAGTGGGTGGTTGTTGCGTAAGCAGTTGAATGCAGTACATCAGCTGCAAAACCATGGCAGTACTGACCAGATGATTCAGAACTTGCCAGGTTTTCCACTTCTGTTTCAGGAGAGAAATCTATGCAATTACTAAAATTCTCCTGTGCAGAATTTAGTTTAATCCATCTGCTTTTATAGTCAATGTGTAACAACAAAATAGCAGTGCAGTAAATCCAAATGAGGAACAGCAGCTACTGGCATGAAGAGATCCTGTTGCCTCTTACTGCTGTCCCACCACCTCGCTCTCGGTTGGGCTCCTCTGATTCCCGATCCTGCTCACCTTTTGTGAGTGAACAGCGCTCACCAGGCTGCTGTGCTCCTGCTTACCAACAGGGTCCCTCCGAGTCGCTCCCTGTCCCCAGGGAAAGACGAGCAGCACAGATATGACGGCACATGCCACTTCTGGCATATGTTTGAGGTCTAGCTGAAGCAGCACCTGTCCCCAGATTCTTTTCTTCCTTTTTTTTGTGTCTACTTTTGTACCAACGATATCTGTAGTCACTCAACTGCCACTTGTCTGTTTGATAAATAGAAGTGAACTGAGAAACTTTGAAATTGGAATGATAATGTGGTGGGAAGATCCCATCAGGATGACGCTGGAGTGGGAAAGAACGCTATCCGTAACGTTTACTATAGATAGTGAAACACTTTCAGATACACTAAAACTCTTCATGAGGCAGAAATGGGAGTGTAAAGGTGTAGGTGTGTCGAGGTGGTGCTCACACCTGTTTGGTGCAGTGACACTGCTTTGTCACTCCCAAAGGGCACATGCACAGTGTGTGACTTTGCTCTGGTGTTTGCTTTGCTAATGGCTACGAGGAGAGCAGGAGGAAAGCAGACCCAGCAGCTTCAACAGTGAGAGTTTAGTAGCTTTGTCAGACAGGAGGTAAAATAACTCAAAGGTGAAATAACTCAAAAAATGTCAGTAGAAGGGAGAAATGAAAAGCAATAGTGGTGGAAAAGTAGCAGGCGATGTTTGGCAGCACATTAGATGTACCCTTGCAGTTTGGGTGAGTGCAGAAAAGCTCACGTAAGGCAGAGCTGAGGAGTGATCTGCCGCTTCTGTTGGTTACACGGGTCGTGTTAGAAGTCAGCATCCATAATAAGGGTTAGTAGCAAAGAATTTTCTCCATTCAAGTGTGGCTAGAAATTGATCAAATGCTTCCTCTGGTGTAATGGTTCAGTGGCGGTAAGGCACTGAGTCCATGGTGCTGCTCGTGTTGGAGCGGCAGGGTGTGAAATGCCTGCGGGGACCCCGCTCCAGCCGGAGCAGAGCCCTTCTCCCCCCCGTCCCGCTTTGCGAGGGGCGAGGGGCGCGAGCTGGTCGTGGTGCCTGCGGGAAGCACTGCCAGCGCGGGGTCGTGTGCCGAGGAGCTGGGGCAGCATCTTGCCAGTAGCGACAGCTGAAGTCACTTGTTGGAAAGTCTGTAAACTCCGGTTACAGCTGCACTTGTCAGGGGCTTTAAGGGAAGTGTAATCAGCCACAGGGATTAATTTGCATCTCAATTAGGAAAGAGTCAGGAGGAAGCATAGGGTCTGTTGCTGGAAGGTTGTGGAAGAAATCTCATCAGGCACAAAAGGCTTCCAAGTCTCGGTGCTTCAGCAAGTGGAGGACAATATCCGAGTCCGGTTTCCATGGGGACCAGGACGACAGAGCCACGAGAGAACCTCGCTGTGCACTGTAATCGCTTGGTCATGATGACACAAATTCCGCTGTCGTACCCAAATACATTTTTCTGTTGGAAATCTCTTTGAAAATGAGGAAGGTAACTATGGCAGACCACATCAGATTCTTTTTTTAATCTGTTTTTTTATGTTTGTGTAACTGTTTCTGTTTTAGGGAGCTCATTAGGGTGAGATAAATACTCATTAGAAAATAATTAATTTAAACTTTAGTTTAAAGCTATTCTGGCTCCAGGTTCTTTGTATGGATCAAATGGTGTGCGATGGCATTACACATGAGCAAAGGCAGAGCAGTTAACACATAGCTCAGTTGTCTCTGTAGCTGCTGCAATGTTTACATGGTCACGGATGACTATACGTTAGTATATGTTAAAAATAGCCATTTTTTCAGGAGTGCATTCATTCTTGGGGCAATGAAGCATTGAGGCTGAGTGGCTGCAGACCATGCTAATTGGTGCTTTCACCATCCTTAAATAACTGTTGAGTGCGAGGTAATGTGTTTCAGCAGCCTCACCAGTCTGCTTTTGCAGGCAATAATTTTTATTTTAAATATGCCAGTGTATTTTACAGAGATCATAGAAGGGCTAGGGTTGGAAAGGACCTTAAAGATCAATCATAAACAATAAGGTGGCTTAAATTATAGAAGGGCAAGGAAGAATAATATTTAAACTTACTAAAATTGTTGTATAAAAATGTATATATTTCTGCAAGTTTTTGAGAGCATTAAAGCCACCTTTTTGTGCACTGGGGGAAGGAAGGAACAACTAATCTCACAGATGAATAATTATATATCAAAACTCAAGTTCCTCTTAATTAAGCCCAGTTAAAGCAGAGGTTGCTAATTGTCAGTATTTAAGAGTAATGTCAGTCTATACACAGGATGCCTTAGGCGATGAGAGCATCAGTGCATTTGGTAATTTGGTGCTTTGGTGATTGTGATTGGGGTGGGCAGGACCCCCTGAGCAAGGGTCTCTTCTGGTTCCAATAATATTGAATATTTCAAAGAAATGGTAGAGGTGATGATATAAAACTGTATCTGTGCTGTCTTCCAGCTTACATGGAATTAGTTGTGTGCTGGAAAGAATTTTTCAGCGCTTGTACATTCTGGAGTCCCAGTCGTCCTAAGCTGCAGTAGCGCACGTCTCTGGTCTTGCCCGTAGAGATGAAGACTGAGAGGGAAAACCAGGGTTAGTGTTTAAGTCTTTATTATGGGTCTGATTTACAGCTGCTGCTTAAGCTGAGGTGCTAGTAAACCTCCAAAACTGGAAATGTAACTGAGTCTGTAGGTGTCAGGCGCTTGGTTCGTCTCCAAAAAGACTTTGGGATCTGGGGATGATGATGTCTGAGCAAAAAGCTCCCCTCAGAATGCATAAGGAAAGGCGGTTTTGACCACCTAGAGTACAGATTCTTTTTCAAAATGGAGTTATTTCCTTGCTCCTTGAATTAAATTGCTCTTGTTTAGAGATTTGTAAGCTGGTCTCAGGTTTTACTTGTGAAATTTCATAGTCAGGGTGCTGCTTCTTTCCCATCTCACATGTTTCACAATAACAATAGAGGTAAACATCCTGGATTCTCAGATCTTCTGTCATCTTCTTAAAAAAAAAAAGTGTAATGCAGAATTATCTTTGCAATTAAAACAGCTGTTCTTTAAGTTGCATTGACTGAAAGATTGTACCAGACCTGGTTTGTTTTAGAAAAATGTATAAGTGTAAGGTGGAGCGATGGTTTTTGAGCCTTTTCGCCCACTTCTTAACTGGAAAGAGAAGCTTCTCAGGGTTTGAAAAATGGCCACAGTGATGAAGAGGAATTGCTGTCATGATCTGTGAATGGCCCCATGGACCTGAATGTAAGTGCCCATATCTCTATTTCTACTCTTCTACTGAAAAAAACTTATTTTTAATTGAAACTTTGATATTATTTGCAGTATCTTACCACTTTCTTTTCTCCACCATTGCTACTAACTGTCACACCTGCAGTGCTACCTGCTCTCACCAACTGGATTTGAAGAAAAGCAGGAGTGATTGTGACATGTCTGAAATGTTACCCTGGCTTCAACCAGCTTTTTGTAAGCAACCTACTGGAGGGTGTAACGTGTCCCGATGTGCAAGAACCAGTTGGCTTCTTTCCTGCATTCTTCGTTGTTTTTTCTTAAGTCTTTGAATTATTTTCTTAGCAATTTAAGCTGCGCATATCTTCCTGTGAATGGGTAAATAGGGAGTTAGTTCCTGTTGGGGTTTATTGAGAGTTAACTTGTTTATTATAAAGTTATCTTTTTAAGCAATCTCACTCTTAGGATAAACTGGTTTGGTTTTATGGAAAGCAAAG